ATATATATGTCAATGTCTAGTGACCCATATAAATATGCGGTCACAACATCCATTAACTGCATTTCTAAATTCATTTTTACTACCAGCGATATTAGATAACGGAACGATGTGACATCTAAGACAGGAGAGTAAGTTTGTTCGAAATCTATTCCGGGTCTCTGTGAGAACCCTTGAGCTACCAGTCTCGCTTTGTATCTGACCACCTCATTTTGTTCATTCCTCTTTCGTACAAACACCCATTTAGATCCTACTGGGATCACGCCTTTAGGGGTAAGTACAGGAGGACTAAACACATTTCTTTTATTTAGCGAGTTGAGCTCAGCCTCAATTGCATCTTTCTATTTCAATCAATCAGAGCGCTTCTTGCACTCTACTATAGTTTTTAGTTCTGGATCCAGATTATTGAAAGAAATGTGTAGAGCAATTGTAGAGGCGAGTTGGTCGTCGACGACTATTACATTTCTTTTAAGATTTTCTCCTATTTTGAGAAAGTTTATGGCAGATTCTATATTCACTTCAACCATGTCTTTCTCATTTGCTATTATATCTTGGTGAAGGTGTTCTGTATTCCCAGTGTTAGATTTATTTGTAGCACGTGCATTTACACTGGGTTTTTCGTCTTCAGGACGATTTTGGAGTAACTGTGATTGTTTATTGTTTTTAGTTTTTCGCTGATTTACATCTTTTGCACTAACTGGTCTTCAACGCTTCTGGCATTGGATAGTGCCGGTGTTAGTATTTGGTCCTTTGGGGACAATTATTTTTGATGGAGCATTTTCTGCAGGAATATAAGACCTAGTTACTCCTTTATAATCAGTAAACGCATCTGTTAGATTATTTGCTAGTTTTTGCAAATTTATTATTTTCTGAACTTCAAGTTCAGTTTGATTAGTACGTGGGTCAAGATACTGAAAATATTTTTCATCCCATGAAATTTCGTGGCTTTTTTCCAAAGTTGGGCTTTTCTCTCTCCCTAATGCCAGGAAATGATCTTCATAAAAAATGCAGTCAGCAAACCGTGCAATAAACTGATCTGCTGTCATAGGCTCGAGGTATTTAATGATAGAAGGGGATTCATACCCAACATAAATACCTAACCGACACTGCGGGCCCATCGAAGAACGATGCGGAGGTGGTATATAGGTATGTAAACCGCACAGCCAAAGACACGCAAATGAGAAATGTCTGGCTCATTACCACGTATAATTTGTAGAGAGGAATAATCGTGATATGCAGTTGGCTGGAGTTGTATTAGATTTCCAGCATGCAACACTGCGTGTCTCCAACAATTGACTGGTAGACTGGACCGTTGCAGTAATGGTCTAGCTATTAGTTTAATTCTTTGATAAGGGATTCAGCTAAACCATTCTGGGTGTGGACGTATGGTGTTCCACCTTAATTCCCATGGCCATACAATAATCGTCAAAAGCTGACGAGGTGAATTCACCAGCATTATCAATTCTTATGTTCTTAACAGGATAATCGGGGAATTGGGAATTCAACCTAACGATTTGGCTCATGAATTTTGCGAATGCCATATTTCGAGTGGACAACAGGAACACATGTGTCCTTTGGATGGAAGCATCAATAAGGACCATGAAATATCGGAATGGTCCGAATGAAGGATGAATTGGTCCACAAATATCATCTTGTAGCCTCTGCAGGAAGACATGTGACTCAAAACTAATCTTATGACGCGAGGGCCGAACAAAAAGTTTTCCATGTGCACATGGAACACACGTGTAATCTTTTGTAGAAAGGATGTTTGTCCTAAGAAGGTTATGTCCAGTTGAATTTGAAAGTATCCGACCTATCATAGTTTGCCCAGAGTGACCTAAGCGGTCATGCCATAGACTGAAAGAATGTGTATTTTTAAATTTCACTGCGAGTGCAACGCAGGAGTGTTGGGGCCTGATATAGGATTTTGGCTCACCAATTGATCCTTACCTCAGAGCCTTGGTATTAAATTCAAGTTTCTTCAGTGTTAATAATTTTATTTGTATATATTTAAATTACCTCGATCTAGGTGGTAAAAGGCTCAAACAGGTAGTAAGAAGTAGAAAATTTGTGATGAAAGATCGTAGAAGTAGAGAATCAACAATAATGAGACAGTCGCATGGGAGGAGTTCGATGCACTGATTCTAGAAGATGAAAGGTAAAATTGTGTATTTAAAATTGAGAATGGATTTGCCTTGATTTCTTTATCATACTACACCAGCTATTGCTACAAATTAGCCACTAATGAATTACAATACCACTAATGAATTACAATAGCCACTAATAAATTACAATAGCCACTAATGAATTACAATAGCCATACCCATTAAAACAATTTTCCTAATGTACTAGTTTTGCCCAAATCATCATCCGCTAGCTACTTCATACTTAGTTTATGTTAATACAATATATTCATGTTATAACATATATATGCATGTTATAACATATATAACATTGTTTAATAAATTGTTTTTGTATAAGTTTATGGATTGTAACATGTTTATTAAACATGTTATGTTCATGTCAAAGAGATATTTTGCGATACATATGCATGTCTCAACACAACATAAGGTTTAGGTTTTTTTTTTTTGTTTTTTTTTTTTTTGTTTTTTTTTTAACCAACCAGAAACCAAATTTAATTATAATCAGAGCTCTTACATAAGAGTTCACCGACATAACGAGGGATAAAGTCAAACCACTCAATTCTATCAACCCCTATACAAGTAAAATCTCATATTTGTCTTGTTTAATTTGGTTTGTAAAAGTACGAGATCCTAAAATGTAATGTGAGATTTTTAAGAATGATTTTGTTATTAGTATTATATTATTTGCCAGCTCTCGATCAAAAGAGAGCTGGCAATGGAAGATCGAAGAAGCAGAGGATCTGTATGTGATATATGTATTCTGTAGATAATCATGCTTATTTTTAAAATTTTTATAAATAATAACTTTTGTGTTATAAATAATCATGTAATAAATAATTTTTGTGTTATTCCATTCCTAAATTGCTGTAACTTAGGAAATAAAGATTGGAGTTATATGTATTTGATTTTATTACTTTTTTTTTATTACCGTAACCAATATTATTTTAATTTGTTCCATTTTTAAAATATGCTTATTTTTAAAAATTTTAATGGTATTTTGCATTATTTATGAAATTATAAATTCATTAATAATAATGATTAGTGTAACAATATGCTTATTTTTACCTTTTTAATGGTATTTTGCATCATTTATGAAATTATAAAATCATTGATAATAATCATTACGGTCAAATAATAAATGTGTAATAATATTTTGTATCCGGTACCTACATTCTTACATTATCATGCTTAGTTTTGTGAACCCGTGATTGAACAATTCTGTAATGGTACTTTATTTATATTGTACGAAACAAACAGAAAGTGTATCATCATTCAAAAAATTGTTTATTTTGTTTTTTTATTTATTCAAAATTTGTAATTAATTAATATATCAGGGTACACGTATACACTTGACATTAAAACAACAACATGTTAAAAAATTCAATTGTATCCTCAATGAGAGCCCTTTATATATGTGATTAGAAACTTTATTGTCTCGAATAACTCTATTCTTGTAAAACCCTGTATTTAGTCATGGACAATTATATGCTGCAGTTTCAAGGGTCACTACTCCAAATGGTTTGAAAATATTGATTTGTGATAGTGATAGCAACAAAACAACTTCAACCACAAACATTGTATACAAGGAAGTTTTTCAAATTTTGAAACAATTTCAAATATATATAATATCATATTTTAATATTATAGTTGTTATTAAATTTATTATCTTCTGTACATATCTATTCATACTTTTGCACTTATTTTATAAACCAACAATAATGTACTCTTCTAATTATTATAATAATTTATAACTTGACCTTTCACTTTATTATTATAATTATTTATAACTTGACCTTTAACTTTATTATTTAAATATCTATATATTAAAAAATAATATCCGTTCATCGCACGGATAATTTACTAGTTATGATAATAAAAGAAGTAAATCAAAGTCCCTTGATGCTTGCTCCATCGTTCAGTTCATATTTTCACTGGTATCTCTATTAAATTTTTTATTTGATTTCTTAAGTTGTTGCAATAAGCTAATTAAATTAACACTCATATTGATTTTTTAACCAAGTCAAACAGCTAATATATATAATAGTGGTAAAATAAACCAAAATTGGTTGATAGGCTATTTATTTTACCAAATCGGGCCTATACTTCGAGTGATAGTTTAACTGCAGAAAATGGAGATCAAGAAGAAAAATGTCACCATACATCCATTAATATATTCTTCACTCCTTATACATTTGCATATAGGTGGCCATATATACATGATCAGATAAACCACCCACTAACCCAACTACTAGAAAAGTGTAATACATGCCCATGAAATGCCTATATTAGTGGTTATCACACTATATAATAATAATAATAATAATAATAATAATAATTATAATAATAATAATAATAATAATAATAATAATAATAATAATAATAATAATAATAATAGTAATAATAATAGTAATAATTGTTAGCATGACTAGTATTTTGTATTTATTATTTTATACAATATAGTCATAGATTAGTGGTGGTAATTATGTTTGACTTAGCTTCTCTATTAGTTAGGATTAGTTTGAGATTGGTTCTACGATATACTCTGTAATCCTATCTTTATGTGTAATTGATTTTGAGGTGAATTAGCTAATCTGGTATCAGACACAGGTTATCCGATCCTCTCCAACCTCCATCACAAACCTCTTCCCCCTATCACCCTTTTTCGCCGGCGACACCACGTAATGTCGACGTCCTCCGAACGCACTGCTTCTGCCGCCGGAAACTCCTCGCCGGCCGTTGGAAATACGTTATCCGGTGCGCATCACTACATCACGATGAAACTGACTCTCAAAAATTATCTCTTCTGGAGGATGCAGCTCCTCTCTTTCCTCCGTGACCAGGATCTCCTGTGATTCGTGGATGGCACTTTTCCATGCCCGCCGGCCACCATTCTCGGCGCTCCGTCAACCAGCGACTGTCGCAGTGGCCAATCCGGCGTACGACGCCTGGGTTAAACAGGATCAGACCATCGTGTCTCTCCTGGTCTCGTCCATGGCGGATGAAGTTCTTCATCTTGCACTCGGCCGGGATACGTCGGCTGCTATATGGACCTCCATCACCGGCGCTCTTGGGTCCTCCAGTCAGGCTCGGTGTCTCACACTGTTAAGCCAAATTCAGATGTTGCGCCAAGGCAACGCCACAACCGCAGATTACCTTGGGAGAGCCGGCATCCTAGTCGAAGCTCTCATTCAGGCCAGTCGCCCGCCCACGCTGATGGAGCAGAATTTATATGTAATCAGGGGCCTGCGACCGGAGCTGAAGGCTCTCGCCACGTCCTTAACGGCAACCGGGGCGGCGTTAACACTGACGCACCTCTCTGATTTCTTACAGGCGCACGAATTTATTCTGGTGGACGATTATCCATCGCTCGACACCGGCGTCGCCCACACTGCCATGTACGCCAGAACCGGCTGGGGATCGCATGGTGGTGGCAGGCAGCAGCAGTCCTCGCAGCAGCAACGGGGTGGATGGCCAGGCTGTGGTGGCCAACATCGCGGAGGCCGTGGTGGTCGCGGAACGCCCAGGTGCCAAATCTGCCGCTCACACGGCCATTCGGCAATCTACTGCTACAAAAGGTATACGACTCAACCACCGCAGCCTCAAGCGCATGTTGCCACGTCCGGTGAAGCTCCGGCGCCTCCATCCACTGTTCCGGGTGATGGGTGGTACCCAGACACCGGGGCCACCGCCCACGCAACTCCAGACCCGAGCATGTTAAGCCAATCAGATGAGTATGGCGGATCAGACGTTCTCAGAGTGGGTAATGGGGCAGGTTTGTCTATTTCGCGAATTGGTCGTGCAACTATCCCATCCTTGTCTAAACCTTTTTGTTTGAATAATATTCTGCATGTACCCATTCTTTCTGTCCCGTTACTGTCTGTCAATAAATTTGCAATTGACAATAACGTGTTTTTTGAGTTTCATGCCAATTACTTTACTGTGAAGGATTCCACAACCAACACAATTCTTCTTAAAGGGCCAACAGCGGGCGGACTGTATAAACTCCCGGTGTCAAGACAAAATTTCGCGTTCGTCAGTTCCCGGGCTACTCCCACCACTTGGCACCGCAGGCTATGACATCCGCACAAGCTAGTTCTAAATAAAGTGCTACAAAAGTGTCCCGTCACACCTAATAAAGCAACATCACTCGAGTCATGTACCTCATGCCATCTTGGAAAGTCATCTAGATTTAAGTTAGATAGCGTTCCCAATTCCACTGAAAATGTATTAGATTTAGTCTTTACCGATATTTGGGGGCCTTCCCCGGTATTGTCGATTAGTGGTTTTCGCTATTTCTGTCTTTTTGTAGATGATTACTCCAGATTCTACTGGTTTTATCCATTACGGGTAAAATCAGACATATATAAAGCTTTTCAGTCGTTTCGTGTCTTGGTAGAGCGGCAGTTCTCGCGCTCTACCAAATCAATTCAATCTGACTTAGGGGGTGAATACCGAAAACTACACAAAATATTCCAATCTTTAGGGTTAAATCACCGCCAATCCTGCGCATATACACATGAATATTGGGATTATGCTTTCGAAACAGCAAACACCTTAATCAATTATTTACCTTCTTCAGCCATTAATTTTGAAAGCCCATATACCCGTCTATTTAATACGTCACCCCCATACACCTTTCTTCGTGTCTTCGGGTGTCGGTGTTACCCATATCTAAGGCCATATAACCGGCACAAGATTGAGTATCGCTCCACCCCATGTGTCTTCTTAGGTTACCCACCGTCCATGAGGGGATACAGGTGCACTGATCTAACCAGCGGAAAGACTTACATCTGTCGTGATGTCCGCTTTGACGAATCTATTTTCCCCTTTGTCACAGATTATTCAGCACAAGTGCCTACCACACCGGCCTTACCTTGGGCGTCAGCACCGATTATCTAACAGGGTTCAGCTGCGGACCCAACACCTGCACCAGTTGAGACACCGGCCCCTTCTGGACCTGAGCCAATCCCATTGGCTCGTGAGTCACCACGGTTTGCTATAACATATACTGCCACGGTAAGAACGAGGAAACGACGTGCCCAGCCACAAAGTCGTGATCATGTCATGCGACTGCGACACATGACGAGGGGTACGGAGGAGCCGTTCCAGGCTTTAACCGCAGTAGCGGATCCCACGTGCTACTCACAAGCTGTGGGCCATGCACATTGGCGCGAGGCTATGGACCAGGAGTTCAACGCCTTACTTCATTACAACACCTGGCGGCTTGTTCCACCTGAGCCACACATGAACATCATTGGGTGCAAGTGGCTATTCCGCACCAAACGCACCGCTGATGGTTCTGTTGAGCGGTATAAAGCCCGACTAGTGGCAAAGGGGTTCAACCAGGTAGCAGGAGAAGACTTCTTTGACACGTTTAGTCCAGTGGTCAAACCGACCACAGTTCGGATGCTTTTTTCTCTAGCTGTTTCCAACAGATGGACTCTACGCCAGTTAGATGTGCATAATGCCTTCCTAAATGGGCATTTAGCCGAAACCGTGTACATGAAGCAACCCCCGGGGTACGAGGACCCGACAACACCTGGGCATGTGTGTCATCTACAACAGTCCCTTTATGGCTTGAAACAGGCCCCACGGGCTTGGTTAAAGTGTCTTCATGATTTCCTCTTATCTGCAGGTTTCAAGTCATCTAAAACCGACGTCTCCTTGCTTTATTATGCTACTGGGGACTCACGTGTGTTTTTATTGGTTTACGTCGATGACATAATAATGATGGGCAATGATGCCAAGCTTGTGACTACACTTCTACAACGTCTTTCCCCTACGTTCAAGATCAGGGACCTAGGGTCTCCCGGGTTCTTCTTGGGCATTGAGACTATTGTGTCAGGTGACGGGTTTATTCTATCTCAACGTCGTTATATGACGGATCTCCTAGGACGCTCAGGGATGGCTGATTGTAAACCTCTCACTACACCGGCTGCTGTCACTAAATCAGTCACCCGTTCTGAGGAACTGTTTGACAATCCGACGCAGTATCGTCGCATAATTGGAGCGCTACAGTACTTGACGATCACTAGGCCCGACTTGGCGTATGCAGTCAATCGGTTGTGTCAATTCATGCATTCACCAACGACAGATCATTGGGCTCTTGTGAAATGGGTTCTGCGATACATCAAGGGGACTCTCGACTTTGGCCTTCGTCTCACACCATCTTCCTCGACCTGCATTCATGCCTTCTCCGACTCAAACTGGGCTGGTTGTCCAGTAGATAGAAAGAGCACCAGTGGTTTTGCGGTTTATCTAGGGACCAATCTTATTTCCTGGCTGTTAAAGAAGCAGCGCACGGTAGCACGGTTCTCCACTGAAGCCGAGTACAAAGCCCTAGCAGATGTCTCTGCAGAGGTCACCTGGGTTGTGTCACTACTACTGGAGCTTGGGATACATTCCGGACAACCTTCGACGCTATGGTGTGACAATCTTGGGGCTACTTATCTTTGTGCCAATCCGGTTTTTCATGCACGCACAAAGCATGTAGAAATTGACTATCATTTCGTTCGGGACAAGGTTGCTTCAGGAGAATTCATCGTCAATTATGTGTCTACGACGGATCAGTTAGCAGATATCTTTACCAAACCTCTTTCAGCGTCCAGGTTCGCAACTTTATAGGACAAGCTCAATGTTGTCTCTCTACAACCTTGTGCTTGAGGGGGTGTGTTAGCATGACTAGTATTTTGTATTTATTATTTTATACAATATAGTCATAGATTAGTGGTGGTAATTATGTTTGACTTAGCTTCCCTATTAGTTAGGATTAGTTAGAGATTGGTTCTACGATATACTCTGTAATCCTATCTTTCTGTGTAATTGATTTTGAGGTGAATTATCTAATCATAATAATAGTAGTAGTAGAAATAATAATAATAATAATAATAATAATAATAATAATAATAATAATAATAATAACAAGAATAACAAGAATAACAACAACAACAACAACAATAACAATAACAATAACAACAACAACAACAACAACAATAATAATAATAATAATAATAATAATATTAATAATAATAATAATAATAATAATAATAATAATAATAATAATAATAATAATAATAATAGTATAAACTGCAGCATATGAATCCACGATTGTATCAGTTTTAGTATATAAAATTTACATATTTAGAAAAAAATAATATTAAAAGTTCTATTCAACACAAAAAAAAAAAATAAAAATAATTAAAAAATACTAAAGAAAATAAACAATTAAAAAGTGTTAGTTTAATCAATAAATAGCAAGGATGATATGTAAAATAAGACAGTGGGAGTACTATATTATTTTCCATTTAGAAGAAGAGAGTATAAGACTATCTAAAATTCAGAGAAATATGATAGCTAAATATATAAGGAGTGAGTGATGAAGAGAAATGAGATTTAAGAAATAATATAGAGAAATTGGCATGTAGTGACCTCTCCCATGTGCTTCATTAACTTGAGAAAGTATGTTTGAACAGATACTACAATGTAATAGAGTTAGTACCATTAAAAAAAAATAGAGCAATTAGGGTAATAAACAACAAAAATTGAGAGGCCTATTTGAATTATTTTTTAGTCATTCTACACTTTCAATATATTTATTCTCTATATTATTAGAAACACACAAACAACAAAAAGATTTAAATTACATCGGTGTAGGGGTAAAAGGCTCAAATAGGTAGTAGAAGTCGGCTTGAAACGCAAAAGTATTAGAGAGCCGGTGATGAAAAATTGAAGCAGTGGAGATTCTGCGATGGTGGATCAATTCAACGAAGAGTCGAAATGGAATATCAAAGCAATAGAGAGCCGGCGGCGGTGGAAAACTGAAGAAGTGGAAAATCTGTGATTAAAGATCGAAGCAAAATTGAATCGGCGATGGAAATTTGAAGCAAAGGAGAGCTGACGATAGAAAATTGAAGCAATGGAGAGCCGATGATGGACGATCGAAGCAACAATGAGTCTTCGATGGAAAATCAACACAGTAGAGACCCGGCGATAGAAATTCGGAGCGACAAAGAGTTGTTTTTAGGAAAATCAGAGCGACGGAGAGTTGCCGATGGAAAATCAAAGCACCGGAGTTTCGCCGATTGAAAATGAAAGCTGTGATGAGTCGGTGATGGAAGGCGTTGATTTGACGATGGAGTGAAGCAAATAGACGTCTAGTGGTGAGCTGATGGCACGTTCTCGTTGAGGATAGAGCGACAGACAGTAAGGTATGAAATTTAGGAAATAGCTTAAAATAGAAAGTGAGATGCCCAAATAGGTAGAGGCTTAGTGTTTCGGGGTATGGGTCACACAAAGAATAGTCAAAATTAGAGGAAATTCTTTTATTGGTGTAGTAGATTAGGCAATTTTTTTGTGGACCATTAAAAATTACATTTTTGTATGTGATAAAAGTCGAAGAAGTAGAGAATCGGCAATGAGACAGCCGCACCGTCGTCGCACGGGAGGGGTGCATCATGAGACGACCGCACGATCCTCGCACAGGATGAGTCGGTTGGACTTGATCAAGATTCTATATCTATATATAAATTAAAAGAAATTCTAGAGGAAAGAAAAACTTGTTTCTTTAAAATTCCCAACAAATTAAATTAGCCACTAATGAATTAGATACAACAGCCATACATTCAAGCAACTCTACAGAAGAAGGGTTTTCACTTTTCACCAATCAGCACTCGCAACATTCTTGAAAACCTCCTCTACCCTCTCCCCGCCGCTGTGTGCGTGGATTATTTTTGTCTTATTTCATACTTTGTCATTTTTGCGGGTTAGGCGGGGGCGGGCTAAAATACCCGCCAAAATACGGGTCTAAAATATCATAGCCCGCCTCTCCCTTTTTGCGGGACAAGATGGGCTCACCCGACGGGTTAAGACCGTTTTGACGGCTCTAGTTAGCGATGGTGGATCGAAGCAACGAAGAGTTGAAAAGGAAGATCGAAGCAATAGAGAGCTGACATTGGAAGATCAAAGAAGTAGAGAATCGGCAATAATGATACGATCGCACGATCGTCGCACGGGAGGAGTTCGCTCACTGATCAAGATTATATATATATATATATATATATATATATATATATAAACAA